GAGGAGGCTGAGGAGCGTGCTGACATTGCAGAGTCTCAGGTCAACAAACTGAGGGCAAAGAGCCGTGACTCTGGAAAGGTAAATATGTAGCAGTTTAGTCAGCATGTGAATTTGTTGAATCACCTACATTACAGTGGTCATTCAAGTTTCAAAACTCTTTTTAGGTTATACCTGATTCAATTAATATTTAATAGAATGTCACATTCAGACATTAATTTTCTATTTCTTCTTTTCAGGGAAAGGATGTGGCTGAGTAAAACAGATTGTGTTTCACCATGTTGTATCATATAATATGTGCTTCATTCTGAAACAATAAATCATAACTGCTCTTACACTTCTGTCTATGTCAATTTTTTATTTCTTATTAATCAACCCCAATCAGGATCTCTCAAATCGCTCATATTTTAAAGATATTCAAAACTGTTTAATTTTTTGTTCATTTGGGACTTTGGGCCAATTCCCTTTTATTTTCATGAGGCACATGTTCATGTTCAGGTTGGGAAGCAAATGCAGGCTCAGATAAAAATAGACATCTTCATATACTTTCAAATACATCTTTCTATTTTTTTATTTGTACAGATGAACAAATAGTCACAAAATCGGAGCTACATGTACAGTATTTGTCATGCTGCATGCTGTTTGGCATCAGCTAAACACAGAGAAAGCCACAAATAATCTTATCAGTCCAGGAAAATACAAACTTTCTGAGTTGTTATTTGCAACAACGGAAAAAAAACACAGGGAAAAAGTACCCTAAATATCTGAATAAGGAACTGTGCCACAATCAGACGAACCCAAGCAAGCATATCAGACATGGCGGACTACATCGACTAATACAAAGAAATTAAAAAATACAAATTCATCTGGGCTTGAAAAACAATGAAAATATGTAAGGGATTTAACTCTTGTCACATATAATAAACCACTGAGAATTCAGTTGACCATCTTAGCACCATATGAACAGCTGCCATTGCAGTGGCCAGAGATGACAGACCAGCAGAGAAGCCATTCAGAGTTGATCTGAGCCAGCAGCACGGCGTCCTGCTCGTTCACTTCAACCCTGTCTGCACCCTCGTTTATTCATGTTCAGCTTCAGAATTTTACGATTGAACACGTTTCGGCTGTTGGTAAATATTTTATTAATCAACCCCTTTCAGGAACCTGCGAATATTTAGCAGATATTCAAAAGATTCGGATTAATGAAGAAAGGTAAAGTAGGCACAACATGAAACATTATAGAATTTGGACAGCTGACCCAATCAGGAACTTACCAGTCATTCATGTTTTGAAGATATTCAAAACTGTTTCATTTCTTGTTCTTTTGGGAATTTGAGTCAATTCCCTTTTTATATTTTTACGACCCACATGTTAAAATGGGTTCAGGTTTGGAAGCACATGCAGGCTCAGATAAAAATAGACATCTTTACATACATTAAAATACATCTTTTGATTTTTTGATTTGTACAGACTAACAAATGGTCACAAAATCAGAGCTACCTGTATTTGTCACAGACTGGGTGTCGTCAGCATAACTGTGGTATTAGAAACCATGTGATTGAATCATCTGGCCCAGCGTTGGTGGTGTATAGTGATTCATGAATGTGACAGGTAGTGGTGAAAGCGTTGTGGCTACTTTGTAAATTTTGGTCCTCTTTTCAGAGAGAGTTTATTTTGTACTTTGTTTACAGTCTTATTTGTGCCTCGGGTTCCAATCCTGACAGCCCTAGTATGAGTGGAAGTCAAAAGAACACAAAAACTGTGCGCTCGAGGCAATACAGTGAGAGTTACATTTAATTTGGATTTACTTTTACTGGGGATGCCAAGACACCGACTCTGTTGTGCTTGGTATGCGGTGAAAAGCTACACAACAGTGCTATCCAACAAGCTTAAACGCCATCTCCAAACGAAACACCCTTCACT